TCTGACTTAAAAATTAATTAGCCAGAAATAGGTGTCTGTGTTGTCATAGGAGTCTGGGTACTCTGCTCACCTGATCATCCTGCGGGAGTTGGCGGTGAGGCCCTCGGGGCTCTCGCTAGACAGAGACCACGCTCAGCTCCTCCAAGCTAACAAAGAGGGAGATGAGAGCGTGTGCTGAGAAATTCAGCCAGAAACCCGCATTCAGGTCGGGGATGTAGCTCAGCAGTAGAGTGCCTGCCCAGCAAGCACAGGGTCCTAAGGTCAGTTCTTGGTGCGAAACAAAATAAGACAAAACAAAATGGAAAGAAAAGAAACAAGGGGCTGGGGAGAGAGCTCAGTAGAATAACCCTTGCCAGGGTCCTAAGTTCAGTCTCCAGTTCTGCAAAAAAAGAAAACCGAGTTCAGCTAAATGGGAGCTCAGGGTCCTGTTCTGTGAGGAAGAGGCTAAGAAGCTGACAGGATTTACCCTGTGAGAACTAGAAAACGATGGCTCCGTGGGGCTGCAGAAGAGCACTCAGAGTGATGCTGCTCTCTTGGAAGACCATCCCTTGAACGGTAGGTGCTTAATGCTGCACTTAGAGAAAGCATCCAGAATAGGAGGGATTCTCAGCTATTCCCCAGAGAGAAAATCAGGCCCCTCTTAGCTCAGTGTTGTCTAGGGACAGTAACTCTCTGCCTGGAGGGGTCAACATTTTGGCGGACTAAAGGTAGTTGCAACAGGTAATCTAGGGAATCATTTAATCTCAGATATTACATATATAAAATATACAGTGATCCGCACATAAATATCGTGGAGTCTTGGACTGTGACTTGCTCTGTGAGTGATCGTGAGGCCAGCACATCTAACAAAGTTTAACCTGACAAACAGGTGCGCCTGGCAGCATGAGCCACAGCCCACCACCCATGCCGAGGGGAGGCCTAGCGCGGGAAGGTGCAGGCGCTAGAGAACCCCGGCCGTCTCGATAGCTTGTGAGCGCTAGGGTGGGCGCAGCAATGGCCATTTCGTTGTCCTGTATTTTGCTTGCTCTTTATTAAACAATGCTAGCATTGTCACTTAACCTTCATGCAGATAATGTCCTGTGGGCCAGCTTGCTGTCATAGGTTACCTGAACAGAAACAACATTTGTCACTTCGTGTAGACTTTTCTCTTGGTGTCTCTCATCTGGAGAAATGTCTTCTAGCCCGCGTGTTCTCAGACGGCTCGCAGCCGCAGTCCAGAGGCTTGCCTGAGCAGCAGTGGACTTCTAGTTCATCGCTGATCCAAGTAGCCTTCAGGAGGAACCATAGGATTACATTTTTCTTAATCCAAAAAACTTTTTAAGTTGCTGGCACCAAATACTCGTTCAGCGTGTGGCAGCTCCTCCCGTGCGCCTGTGCCATGTGCTGGGTTCTAAGTGAGGGAGCAGAAGTCGTCCACCGGGCCATGGAGAGCAAATGCGATCGTGCAGAAAGATTATAGGAACTTCAAAGTATAGCTTTGGAAAACCTCTTTAAATCTAAGCAGTGCACAATGGAAAACCCCTAAAGAACCAATCTAATTATTCAATTAAATGGAACCGTTCTGCTGACTTCTACTACAGAAGGCGAGCGTAATTTAGAAAATGGGGCATTTTAATTCTCTTTTGTTTTCCAATTAACGCAATTGCTCTGATGGGGATGCCCGCGGATCCTGCACCCCCCCAACTCTGCCCCTCTCCAGAGGCAGATCCTCACCTGTGGACCCAGAGCTGGCTGTCCACAGGCTCACGGTGCCATGCTGGCGGCCTGGGCGGGGAGCCCGCGCCCCTTCCCTGGCAGAGTTAGGGTGCAGGAGGAAGCAGCCCTCGCTTCGCCGCAGCCCACACTCACGGGCTTCTCTTCCCTGGGCGTGTTGAAGGGAGTGCTAAGAGCGCCGCTGCCATAGTTGGCCAGCGGCTCTGGCTCCCACACGGCTGTTTGTGGTCCTCTGTTTTGGGTTCTTTCTGCCACCAGCCACCAGCTTGCTGTGTGTGACACATATTCTACTCATTTTGGATGACTACTTGAACAATTTACGTCTTTTCCGTGTGCTGTTTCTTTATTTCACGTGCCCCAAAATTTGTTAAATTATCTATGGAGGCTGATGTTCTCACATTGTGGGAAGGTATGCTGTCCTCGGAGGGCCCTCCAGCCTGCAGAGAATGTGGGGATTTCGTTCTTCTTTTTCTTTGACTGCTTCCTTGGGTGCCATGTGCGAGCTTGGAAGCCACGGGTCCCACGGGCAGTGTGCGCTGCTGGAGGCAGGGTGGGCAGTGCTGGGAACAGTGGCTTAGTGGAGCAAGATGTGCTTTCTCCCGCCTTGATTAGCACGGTCCTTCCTGATTGCTGGAGGACGTTTGATTTGTGATTCTCCTAGGAAAAGGGCTGCGCAAACACAGAAGACGGTAGAAAAAAGCCGGGATTTTGAAAAGTGAAGCCACTCTTCTAGAAGGTCTTAGGAGGATTAGGGAGCCAGGTGGGGCTGAGCCAGGATGCGTGGTTCCTAGGTAGGCTGTGGGGCCTGGTGGGCAAGGTGTGAACAGCGCCCAGCTGGCCAGGCGCCTTGCCAGGGCTGTTCGTGGTCGCCCCGCCACATCCTTGTCACATAGGCCTGTGGGGGCCTGTGGGGGATGGGCCAGGCCCCTCTGTCTCCTGGCAGCTCTCTCTAGCCCGGCGGCAGAAGTCACTGAGCTATGTTAGAGCAGGACCTTGTCTCACACCCAGCGGCAGCGGCTAAGGTTGTGACAAGAACCAAGCAGGCTTTGCCACATTGGGTTTTTGTTGTTTGTTTTTAAATTAATTTTATTGAGAAAGAAATAGCAACGAGACAGTTTCAAAACAGGTTAGTAGGACAGTTACAATAATTATTACATGGCCTATTCTTGTCTTCATAGTAGTTATTATTAGTACAAGGTGCAGACATGATATCTTGTCTAAACACTATTAATATACATCTTTCTTCTCATTGAACTAAGAGAAAGTAGCTGTATATCCTACTTTGTATATATAGATTACAGCATATACATATATATATATATATATATATATATATATGATCTTTTTTCACTACAAAATGGTCCTTCATTTCTATCCCCCTTTTCTGTTTAGTTTTGTCAGAGATGGGTATTCCATTGCCATTCAAATATTGTAGATGTGTGAATTCAGCAAAATAATCCAATGTAGTCCAGTAGTCCATAATGGTAGTGGGTTATCCACAGAAATGGCAGTGTCAGAAGTTGTTGCCTTGACCCTTTTCCAGCTTAGCATATTAATATACTTTTCTGCTGGATGGTTAAGACTGAGAAAAAGCAAGACCTATATAACAAAAAATGTAACTTTTGTATCTGTCAAGGTCAGTCAAATCCCCTCAGGATTTACCCTGGAACCCTGTATAGCAGTTTGTAGATCTTTTGTCAGTGTCAGCCATGTGGATGAGTCACGGCCATTGCTTGACCAATGTGCTCTCTGTGAAGCCTGAGAGAATGTTTTCTCTCCATGTGACTCTCCTTAGGCACACTCTGCATCATCGATGACTTTCCTCCGTGGCTTCATAATCTCCTTATACAGAAATTTTGGGACACCACTGAGTTACAGGATGTTACAGTACAGGTTCTCTTATGTCCTGAGTCCTCACTGACCTTGAAGGGCTAGGGCCAAAATGTTGGCTGTCCTTGTAGCCCCTCTTTTTCTCTAATTTTTGGTTTGTAAGCTTAAGCTGTTAACCCTCCAGAAGAGAAGCTTAATGATATTATTACCCTATAATATAGGCTTGAGCTTAACCTCACTATCTGTCTGAATATCAGACACCTTAGACATAACATGGAACAGGTATTTTGCATCATTCATTGATATGCTAAACTTTTTTTTTTTTTAATGAGAAGGGTCTAGGTAGAAATAAAGGAGAACTTACTTAACTTACAACTGGAAGACCTAGATGTGAAGAGGCAGAAATTAGGAGGTCTGCAAAACTAGTGGATTGGCTATAGCGATACTTGGAATGTCCAGCTGAGTATGACAGTTATTTAAAATTAATAATTAAGGGCCGACCAAATGGCTCAGTGGATTAAAGCACCTGCAAGCAGGCACAGGGGCTGGGGATTTGATCCCCGGTCCTGCTGTGCTAGCCCCACCCCGGGGTAAGCTGGCAATGGAGACTGGGCGTGGTGGTATGTAGCCTATAATCCCAGCTCTTGGGAGGCTGTAAGTAGGCAAATCACTACGAGTCTGATCTAGTAGTGAGACCCTGAATACCCTATAGACCCTCCCCTAAAAATACAAATAAATAAATAAATTAATTAATTAAATTCATAATTAAAGAAACAGTGACAGCCTGGAATTACTTTGAAGATTTTTGTATTTTTTGAAACCTTGTTTAAAGATCAGAATCAGAGCTAATGCAAAGCAAGCTCACTCCTGATGCTGTGGAGGATTGGCTGGTGGCGACGTTGCAGTCTCCCAGGCATGGGCTCTGAGCTGGAGGTGGCCAGCTGCCCGGCCTTCTGTGGCACCACCTGGAGCGAGTGAGCTAGGAGGGCAGGGGGCCTGCCGAGCCCGGAGCAGTCGCCCTGTGCTGCCCTGAGTAGCTGGGCCCGAGACCCTGCTCCTCCTGTAACCGTGCCCTGAAGCCACCCTGAGGCTCCGGAGGGCGGCTCCTCGCCTCCTCCCACAGAGACGAGTGATGGCCGAGGGCCCAGCCCAGGAGAAGAGCCCATCCACGCCCTCCCTGGCCCTGTCAGGCCTTCGCCTGCAGAGAGGCAGTGGAGCGTGGTGTGGCTCATGGGGTGGACACTGCAGAAAGATGACCTGGGGCCAGGAGTGTGTGTGCCTGCAGCCAGGACCCAGAACGCCCTGTGTTTGTAGCTGAGAGTCCTACTTGCCTGAGCCTGGCTTTCTGAGCGGCTGGGGCATCATCACAGGGCTGGACAGGTACCACCATTGGAGGGCTGATGACATGTGGAAGGTAAACTGAGTCACGTGTCGGCCATGTCCCCTTCTGTCCCCAGGTGCTCCACCGACAGCAGTCCCAGCCTACCAAGGAGAGCTCCCCACCCCGGGAAGAGGCACCACCTGCGCCGCCCCCGGTCGATGACAGCTGTGCCAAAAAGCCCCGCTCACGCACCAAGATCTCCCTGGAGGCCCTGGGCATCCTGCAGAGCTTCATTCATGACGTGGGGCTGTATCCCGACCAGGAGGCCATCCACACGCTGTCGGCCCAGCTGGACCTGCCCAAGCACACCATCATCAAGTTCTTCCAGAACCAGCGCTACCACGTCAAGCACCACGGCAAGCTCAAGGAGCACCTGGGCTCTGCTGTGGACGTGGCCGAGTACAAGGATGAGGAGCTGCTCACCGAGTCAGAGGAGAATGACAGCGAGGATGGCCCAGAGGAGGTGTACCGGGTGGAGGCCGAGGAGGACAGCAGCGACAGGGCCAAGGCTGCCCCTGCCGAGGGCGACCAGAGATGATGCAGCGGGCACCGCGCCCTCGGGGTCGTCTCTCCCTTCTTCACAGACATCTCCTAGCTTGTTTTACCTTCGTCTTTCTGAGTCTCTTCGATTTTCCTTGCCTGTCACGACATTCCTCCGTTGCGCAGGACATGACTGAGACTGAGTCCAGTCCTTCTGCCTTGTCCAGACATCTGTGGCAGAGGCCTGCAGGGCCCGGAGCCGCTGCCCACCAGCTTGTGGCAGGGCCAGCTGTGCCAGTGGGCCGGGGCGTGGCGCCCACGCGTGTGTCCGTGTGTCTGCAGAGCTCTGTTCCCGCGTGGACAGAGACCTTGGGCCTGTGAGGACAGCCGCGCAGTGAGCTCTATGGAAAGACTTGGCCACATGTTAAAACCACTTCACACGAGTCGCTTCGGCTTTTGATAACCTGCAGCCTGCTCTCAGGGTGGGGTGACGATTTTTTGAACTCCTATTTATTTTTTTTGTGTTTGTCCCTGATTTTTTGTTTAATTCAATGGCTTCCTATCTGGCAGCTCCATGGGTAATTTTAGAGGTATGTATTTAACAAGATAAATCAACACTGCCAAAAAAAAGAAGAAAGCAAGTGAAAACAAATCAGGGCATATTCAAAGGCTACATGTCAAATCGCTCATAAAGACAGTGCGCACCTCAGTGACTCCGCAGCAGACGGCCGCCTCGCCCTCAGTCCCACCTAGGTTCCTGCCTGGTGAGTGGGGTGGAGATGGTGAAGAAAAGTCAGCTCCACGCAGAACTGCCCCGCAGCAGCCAGGCCGCCCGGGGCACGCGCAGTCCACGCCGGGAGCCACAGCTCTGCGAGCAACCACTTCCCTGTGGCTTTAAATCGTAAACTATTAAGCCTGCTCACTTAAAAGTTGTTCTTCGTCGTTGCTGTTTTTGTTTTGTTTTGTTTTTTAAATAGAAAATAGTTCGGGGTATTGTTGAGTTACGAAGAGGCAGCCGCGCGGGCTGCCGGGCTCCCTGTCCCACCCGGCTCCTCGCAACACCCTGGTCCTCCTCTGCACGGCGCTCGCTGCCGCCTGAGCGCGCGTCTCCGGCCTGCCCTGGGCCGCAGCAGGGTGGAACCCTCCCCAGCTCCAGGCGGGGGGCAGTGAGGCAGTTTCGGCAGGGTCACCTGCTTGGCACGAAAGGGAATCGTCCCCCTCCCGCATCCGAAGGCCGGCGGCACTCTGTCCCCCGCCTCTGTCCCCCGCCCTCCGCGGTGCTGGAGGCGACCTTGGCCGGGCTCCCTCGTGGGTGGGTTGTTTTTGAGTCCCGTCTCATGCAACCTTGTCAAAGACCTCATGCAATATCACTTTGAAAGTTATTTTCTGTTTACCACACGAGCATTGTAATATAACTGTTAATACTATTTATATATTTGAAAGGTATAAAGGTAGGAGTTAAAAAACCTCTACGTGTAGATACTAACTCAGACTTACAATATACAGGGAGAAGACACGTTGCAATACAAGCTAAGTCTAGCTGCTCAGTGACCTCTGGAGTTTTTAAAGGGACATTTTCCTGTACTTTTTCCAATAATGACGTTTCAACCTTACCCTGCCATGAGCGTCACGTGTCTGCGGAGGGGCGGCGGCCACCAGGACGGCGCCCTTGCTGTGTGTAGATGCTGCAGCTTCAACCGCAAGTCCGTGGCTGCTGCTTCCCGAGCTCCGAGTTACTGCCCACTCCGTCTTCTCGCGCTGTCGCTGAAGGTCACTGCACACACCCTTAGGAACCGGTTTTGCCAAGCTCTTACCAGGTGGCTCACCGCGCGATGGCATCCGCATTGGGTATCTTTTACACTTCAACCAAAAATTTATTAGGTATTTTTCAACGCTAAGTCTTGCCTTTTATTTTTTAAGTCCACTGCCAAGTTTGCAGTGGTTCTGAGTGAATCTGTGGGCATTTTAGCCTGTGGTCTTGCCAGATCTTTGCGAATTACAATGCATATATGTCTATTTATTCAATATCTGTCATATAATATCTATTTGGAAGAAGAAACTTTCTCTTGTAGTGCCTCTTGACAAAGCACAATTTCCCGCCTTTTTTTTTTGTGAAATGAAAAGAAAAAAACAAATTGTGTTTTATTGCAGTATCAACAATGTGAATAAGGATTAACATATTGTAAATGTTCTTTTTTCCATGTAAATCAACTATCTTTGTTATCACTAAGTGATAATTAATTTTTAACTTATGTGCATTGTTAGGCTGTTAGAATTTTTTGGTTGTTAAAATAAAGCGCATTCAATAAATCTGGCTTTGCTTTTCACTGTGCTCCTGGGTGTCACCGCCTGGATCACGGAAACCTTCGACCAGGACCACGGCAGCCCCCAATACTGGGTGGGGCGGGCGGGGTCTCCTCGCACGTGTGTACCCGCACACGCTCGCATCCCGGGCCGCTCGCCCAGCCGCCCTGCCACACGCAGGAGGGCTCACATGCGCAAAGCAGCATTTATGGGCTCCCTCTTCATTTTGCTAGTGACTGTTTTCTGTTTATAATTAAAAAACCACAAATGACTGCATGTCAGGAAACGTTTGGAGCACACATGTCGGTGGTTAATGGACATAATAGAAGTCTTTTCTATTTAGAGCCGGGCTCCCATAATGTGTGCATAGAGGAATGCCAGAAGGGTTGATGCAGCTGAGAAATGTGCGAAAATGGTCTTTTAGAGAGTACTACGGTGGAAACAATTGCTCAGAGGACTCCGGTCGGGGAGGAGCAAGTGTTGGGCTTCAGAACCAGCAAAGAGAAAGTGAATTAAGAAGTGATTCTGTTTTCTTTTGATGTTGTGACTATTTTCCTGTCTTCTACCTTTCTGCACCTGGCATAACTCTCCTTGCCTTTTCTCTTGGGGGTGAGAGCCCAAAGCCCTGTGACAGTGTCTTGGGGACAGGAGACTAGAGAATGCGGGCCTCTGTAGAAAGGCAGGAGCATGAGTGTGGGGTGACACGGGCCTTGGCTCGGGTGGAGGCTGCCACGGGAGGCCAAAGGATGAGCAGAAAGGCCGACGTGTGCAGTGTGTACACCACACCATGGCACGGCAGAGAGCATCTGACCCGCACCCAACACCGGGCCCTCTGCGTTTCTGAGGTGGTATTTCACTTTGCTTTTGTTTGAGACAAGATCTCACTGCCTCAGACTGACAGTGATCCTCCTGCCTCAGCCTCCTGAGATTGGGAAGATGGTCTTTGGCCCAAGCCTGGGCTGAAGTGGTTTGTGGGGATCAGACCTCATCACAGATAAGCTCCAGAGTGGCCCCCCAGTACTCAGGGAGACAGGAGGCAGCGCTGGTGCTGCCAGGTCCTGCTGTCCAGAAGGTAAAGAGAGATGCCCAGCTCTGCCCTGTGGAAAGTCCTGTGGACGGAGCCCAGAGCTCCCACCTAAGGCTTGGACACACACACACACACACACACACACACACAGAGGATTTGTTTTCCTTCACACTTGCATCCAGTCCGTGAGAGCTGGAAATGAAGGTTCAAAGCTGCCCATGGTTTTGGGGCCGGCCACGTGACACTGTTTCTCCAGAGGCACAGTTGGAGAGCATGGTGGGGCCAGGGCCACGCGGAGAAGGAGCCCAGGGATGGGCCTCCCAGAGGGTGGTCCTGCCACAGCTGGTGAACATTTATAGAGCACACTATGGGCCAGGCCTGGGTGAGGGACGCGGTCCTTAGCGCTGTCCCTGTGGAGCGCTGAACTCAGGAGCACAGATCCAGGGGGAGCAAGTGGGTGGGGACCCTCATGTGTGAGGGGCAAAGACTCGCTCCCCAGCATGTGGGCCCCCGAAGACAGGCTGAGGCGCACAGAAAGACAAGGTAGTGGTGGAACCACTAGATGGAACCCAGACAAGGTTCCATCTACTCCTTACGAGGAAGAAGCCACCGAGCTGTGCTGGCTTCGCGACATGCTGGGAGAGCTGCCGCAGCCCCCGTCTTGCTGGTGCGCTCCTCCTGGGCTTGTCCTGGGCTGCCCTCTCCGTGGCCCACCACGACTGTGGGAGCTCTCACCATCACATCCGCCTTTGCACCAGGAGTGACAAGTCTTTCTCTTTCATGGGCATTTGGACTTCCTCAAGCCCTGTACCTGTGTGAAGGGAGGCTAGTAAATGCTCTTACCTGAGAAAAGGAGTGGATGTTTGGCAGGCAGCACACAGTCCCTGCTGCAGAGAGTGTGGAGCAGGCTGTGGAAGTAGCCCACAAGAGGAGGTCGGTTGAGGGAGCACCTTTTCCTGTGCCCTCCCCTCCCCAGCTCAGTTCTTCCCAGCCAGCCCTCGGGCAGTCAGAGCATGGCTTCTTCCTGGAAGCCCTCCTGGCTCTGCTCTGCCAGGCGTGGTGCACTGTGTGCCTGCCTGGCTCCCGCAGCCCCGGAGACCTCAGCTTGCCATGCGGAGAGGGGCTGGCCACATGACACTGTCTCCCTAGAGGTACAGTGGGAGAATGTGGCAGGGCCAGGGCCACGCAGGAGGGAGCCCAGGGATGGGCCTGCACGCCACACCCCAGAGCCAGTCTCTCAGGCTCAGTGAGCTGCACGAGGTGCTCTCAGGACATTCAATCCTTGTGATTTCCTGGCCTTTCCAAGGGGGCCGACAAACCTTGGAGGAAGGGAAGGGTGCCCGTAGAAAGGTCTTCCGATTCCCCTTACTACTCTCAAGATGTCTGTAGAGTGAAAGACAAAACGACTACTGCCAGACCTCGCAGGCAGCTGGCAGGTGTCTGCCCCCACTCTCCAAGCACACCCTGGGTGTCCCCGGAAGCCTGGCCACTTCCTGCCCTTGAGTCCTGGCCGGGGCCCACGGGCTCTGGTGACTCATGGTGGCAGGCACCCAGACTAAGAAAAGCACTCAAGTTTGAAGCCATGCTGGGTCGCGGTATTTGTGTTTCGATGGCAACTCCATGTCCCTGGTGTATACCATGGGCCTAATGTCTGCTCCCGAATCCGGGCCAGGCAGAACACGGTTTGGAGATGCCTTGAACAACCGTGTCCTACAATGGAAACGTGTGTGGTTGTCACAGCAACTGCCAAGCAGTGGCTGAGCGCTCACCCGAGCTGTTCCCCCACATGAACACGCGGGATCTCAGTGCAGGGAAGCAGCGCTGACCCTCCAGGCCGCCCTGCAGGCGCAGCACGCAAGGGGAGCGGTGCAGCGGCGGAAACCGGTACAGTTACTGGACCCCAAGTGGCCTCGTGTTCAGTGCAGAACCAAAAGGGTTCTGGATGCTTTTATATTCGTTAAAAAGTAAAATTTTTGTTTTCCATAGCCCCTAGGACCCCAGTTCCTGGAAGCCTGAGAGTGACACCAGATTCATTAACTTGTGTCTGAACAGCGGGGTGTTAGGCAGTGAGGGCCCGTGCGTGCGCATTTGCTCCATTTCGAGATCCGCTCTTCACTGTGAAGGGAGAAGGCGAACGCAGACTGCAGCGTTGGTAAGCAGGAATGCTCCCGGCTCTGCGTGGTGGCGGGCACGCGTGCACGCGCACACACACAGATTCAAGCCACAGCCTAGCAGCGATGTGGTGTCACTGCAGATGGACCTGTGGGCTGTTTACAGGGCCGTGGAAAGACACGGTGCC